ATAAAAATTATAAAATTTTTAATAAACTTACTTTCTCATCAATTTGAATAATGCAAATTTAATTTGGATGGTCTAATTTAATATTAATTTTTTTATAATTTTTATAGATTCACTATTTAGATGTACTAGTAAATAATCTAAATTTAATATTAATTTTTTGGAGTTATTTATTTTAGTAAATATAATATTAAAAATGAAGATAATCTCCAAAGTAAAAATTCTAAAAAATTTTAAAAGTTGTAAGTTAAATATTTTAAATCTAGATTGTTCAAAATATATCTTAATACTTAATTTATAAAAATTATAAAAACTTATAATTGGACCATCAAACTTAAATGTATCCTTTTCAGATTAATGATAATGTAAATTTATTAAAATCTTTGTAATTTTTTCAACAATTTTTTATCATTTTATTTTAGTAAATATAAAATAAAAACAATAAATTTGAATAGTTCAAATTAAAAATATAAATGGTTTAAATACTCATCACATAATAAATATTATATTATTCATCAAGTGACGAGCATTGAAATTAGACACATATATTATGATTAAAGTCAAGAATAATGATTCAGTTTGAAAGGCTGCCTATTCAATTTAAAACGCACCATATCTAGCTTAAAACAATTAAACAAACCCTAAGCTCACACTGCCTTAGCCTCACAGCCCTCACTTGCTTGACTCTGTAGAATCTCCCTCTTGACCTCTCTTGTCTCTTGACTCAAAAGCTTAGGGTCATGTCCATAAACCTGCCTTCAAAAATATTAAAATATTATAAATTAATTAAAGTATTTTAAAATTCAAGATGAATCTAACAAATCCAAATTCAAATCAAACAAATTCAAGAAAATAAATAAAAAATTTAAAAGTCTAAATTAAAGATAAAGAAAAAAATCTTCATCAATTTAAATTCTAATCCTCCTTCTTACAATACTGCGAAGAAGCAAGGATCACAAAAAAAAAAAAAAAAGCAACAAGAGCAGCAACATATCGTTCAATTTTCTCGAACAGGATAATAAAATAAAATCACAGAAGCAACCGATCAAAACTGAAATAAAATCACAGGACAATAATGCCATCAGATCGAAGGACCAGAATAAAAAAATAATAATAATAATAATAGCAATCCAGTTCTGTCCAACTATTCAAAACATTCCCTGCTAGGGTACGTATTGAACCTCCAACTCCCAAACATCATAAAATGAGAAGTGCCCAACAGGAAGCATTCTAGTGCGTGCGTATGTACATTAATCCAATAACTTTTGCTACTAGGAATTTCCACTGATACACGATAATTATTCAGCCATACGGGAAACGCCAGGAAATATAAAGCGAAACACGAGGAACGCGAAGAGCAGAGAAACGAAGGATAATGGAAATGCAGAAGGTACCTGGAGATTCAAAACGGACGGACTCAATGGAAGAGACAGACGAAGTGCAGAAGCCACGTGGCTTCCTCCTCCGATGAAAAGATGAAGTGTATGAGCAAAGAATATTTTATATTCTTTGTTTCAAGTTTTGTTCTCCCCATCAATCCACCTGTCAGCCATTAATCAACCTGGATGCTTGCATGGAGACATCCATGCTTGCTCATTGTCCATCTAATTAAGGTGTCAGCCATGTCATCATGTCAGCCATGCTCATTGATGGCAATCGGTTATTAACTAATATAAATTTTGATAAGTGACGTTTAATTGCTATTTTCCCATTTTACTATCCACATAATATTCTCTCCATTCAAAATATAAAGCATTTTTAACTGAATCTCACCGATCAATAAAATAATTGACTATTTTCAAACTAATCATATCTTTTCATATTTACCTCTATTAAATACCCTATAATAAATATAAAGTCATTCATCAATAAAGACACTTAAAAAAATAATAATTATAATTTAAAAAACTAAAATATTTTATATTTTTTAATATTTAACCCTTCAAAAAAATATTTTATATTTTTAAACATAAGAAGTATATATAATAAAAACGTCCATTCAATAAACTATATCACTTTTAAATTTTGTGTAACACGTAAAACATGCATCAGTTATGTCTCTATAGTGCCCTCTCACGTAAGCAATGACGTGGTGGTTTCGTCGTCATGTACTTAATCTTCATGTATTTATTGTTCTTTTTAATAAATAAATCAAGCGTGTTCCAATTTGCCTTTCATTACTCTGAAATTCTCAAGTTTGATTTTTAAAATTTATTATTTTTATTTTTTAGTCTTATAAAATCATATCAATTCATAAAAAAATTTAAACTAAACATAAACTTGCGAGTTTATCATTTTTATAATTCTAATATATAAAATTATATCAATTAACTTATAAAATTAAATTGAGTTAGTTAAATATATATTGTGTAAAATTTGATTTATAAAAATGGTAAGACATGGTTTCAAGAAAAATAAAATTAATATTTTTTATGACAAAAAAGATAATATTAATAGAGAAGAAAACAAAAAAATGACAAAAATAAGAGATTATTTGGTTTCTGTTCCCATTTTTTTTTAAAAAAATATTTTGTGATATAGTTTTTAAAATTATTTTTCAAAACAAAACAAAAGCAAGAATATGTTTCGTTATCTTAATTTAAAAAATTTTTAGAATTTAAAAATAGACTGATGGTAATAGTTATAAGTAGTTAATAGTGATTATTTATGATAAAAATTGATTATGAAAATTATAATTTTTAATAATCAGATGTAGTATATTTTAAAAATAAGAAAAATAAAATAAAAATAAGTTAAAATTATTTTTATATTTTGTTTTGAAAAAAAAAAACAATTTTAGATACAAGTAAATGGAAACCCTTATCTAAACAAGTTTTTAGATTTTTTTTTGTTTTTGAGAACCAAAAATTTTTTTTAAAAACTGAAAATAAATAGGCCCTAAATTACCCTATTTTTAAATTTTTATGTTGAAGATCTATGATAATATATCAATGTAGATAGATTTAATTTTAATTTTTTATATTTGAAATATATGTAAATCAAATTACAATCTTATTTTATAATTTAATTATTTGATGATATGCTTTCTAATGACTATTATTAATATATTTTTTTTACTAGTTTACAATTCAAATTTATGATTTAAATTTAGTTAAAATATATATTTAGGCCTTTAACTTTACAGTGTTTTATTTTAGTCTTTTAACTTTATAAAGTATCTTTTTAATCTCTTAACCTTGATACTCTTAACTTTATCTCAATAAATTTTTATATTAAATTTTTAAATATTAACAAAAAAATTTTAAATGTTAACACATTAAGTTTAATTTTTTAAAATAATAAATATTGACACAAAAATAATCATCTAAAACTAACAATGTTAAGATTAACTAATTTACAAAATACTTTATAAAATTAAATAATTAAAATAAAATCTCATACAATAATAAAAAATTAAAAATATATTTTAACTTTTAAATATATATTCTTATCATAAGTTTATTTAAAATTGTTAGTTTCATAACTTTTATTTTAAGTAACCTATCATCATCAATGACCTTATAATGTGAAGGGCCTGGCAATGGGAAGCACGAAAATTCAAAACTACATCACGAGTCCATCTCCATGCATGGGAAAATTATTACTTCCTCGGGACAAAAATACAGGATATTAATAATTAATTTATAATTTTAAAAAATTAGTTAAAAACCTTAATTTCTTCAATAAAATTACATCTTTTCAATTTTACCTTCGTTAATAGATATTTCAATAATGATAATTAAAATTTTAATATATTATTTTTTAAAAAAGTAAAAAATAAAGTAGTGATATAATTAAAAAAATAATTATAAAAATTATTAAATATATTATATTTTGAATTAAATAAAACTCTTATAAGACATTTTATGTTATGATTTGGAGAAAGATTTATTATAATACAGTAAATTCATGTGGACGAGGACCGATGGTTGTATGATGAAAAATGTTGAATTGAATATAAAAAATATTTTATATTATACTTCTTTCGATCTTTATTACAAAACATTTTTAATGATTTCATGTATTTTAAAAAAATTAATTTTTTTGCTTTATAAAAAATGAAAAATAATTTTATTTTTATCCTTAATTTTAAATAATAATACAATTATATTAAATATTTTTGAGCTAATAAAAAATAAAATTAAAAAATAGAATTAATTATTATAAGGTATTATATATTTTAAATAAAAATTATTTATAAAAAAATATTTTATAAATAAGATCAGAGAAAACATATAGGTTTGCTTGTAGACTCCACAAAATTAATCCATACTCCTTTCCATTTAAAATATAAACAATTTTTTAAAAAATAAGTATATCAATAAAGTTTTTATTTTCATAAAAATATAAATTATTTTTTTAACTCTAATTCTAATTATTCATGTACTATATGATAGGTAAAGGATATATTTATATAAATATTTTAGGTTAATAAAATACAAGGGTAAAATAAATTTTTTAAGTTACTTATATTTTGAATTAATATTAATTAAAAAAATATTTATATTTTGTAAAATTTAAAATCTGGCTAATTATGCACTAATCAATTATGCTTGACCTCGAATTTCGTAGCAGCATTAACAGCATCCAGTTTCATTGAATTTAAAAAGTCGGGGATAATGAATGAGTGCAGGAGATTCAGTTCATTGCATTCAGTTCCACTCTCACCATGAAAAAGTCAAAAAGAAAAAACAGGCTGTGGGCCTTCAATGCCTCATCCCCAGGCCCCACCAAAGTTGCCGCCACACAAAGACTTATCCTGATAAAGAGAAACGACAGGTCCTCTTTTAACTTAGGTGTTGAATGTCAGACCCTAAAAACTTAAATGTTCTCCTAATTCTACATTTTTATCCTGATAAATTTATAACTTATTTTTAAATTTTAATATAAAATAAATAAGTAAATTTGTATTTCTTATTAAATTTAGAATATAAATTATAAATTTATTATAATAAAATTATAAGATTAAGAACCAAGCATATAAACTTATGGAGTTTTACATTTTAAACTTAAGTTGAATTAATTAACTGTGTCATTCTCCCCACCTATAAATCTGGACAACTCTCCCTCTCCAAAACCACACCCCCCATTTTCAGAATTGCAGATAGCACACTCATCGAGGAAGCAACAGCTCTAATCAATGTCGACCAAGCAAAGGTATGAGTTTTGAAATCCCATACACAACCTCTAATGAACTTGAAGTTGCCGTTAACGTTGAGAACATATTTGTGCGGATTTTGCAGGTTGGAGGGTAAGGTGGCTATAGTGACAGGAGGAGCCAGTGGGATCGGAGCAGAATCAGTGAAATTATTCGCCGAAAACGGAGCATCAGTGGTTGTAGCAGACGTTCAAGATGAACTGGGTCACCAACTCACAGCTTCATTAGCCCCACATCAAGTGAGTTACCATCACTGTGATGTAAGAGATGAGAAACAGGTGGAGCAAACTGTAGCTTTCGCCGTCCACAAGTACGGTCGCCTGGACGTCATGTTTAGCAATGCCGGCATCGTCGGCTCCATGGCCGGCATACTGGATCTCGACCTCAACGCATTTGATAAGACAATGGCCGTCAACGTTAGCGGTGCGGCTGCCACCATCAAGCACGCGGCTCGAGCCATGGTGGCCGCAAACACCCGTGGCTCCATTATCTGCACGGCCAGTGCAGCTGGTTCTGTCGCCGGAAGTGGGCCCCATGCTTACACCACGTCCAAGCATGCTCTTGTGGGCCTTGTCCGTTCAGCTTGCGGCGACCTCGGGGCTTATGGGATCAGAGTGAACTGCGTGTCGCCGTATGCGATTGCCACACCTCTTACGTGTGCAGCGCTCAATAAGGGGGCAGATGAAGTTGAAGCCATTGCCAATTCTTCCGCTAACATGAAGGGAATCTCATTGAAGGCTACCCATATTGCTGAAGCGGCCCTCTTTCTTGCTTCTGATGAATCTGTTTATATCAGTGGCCATGATCTGGTCGTCGACGGAGGCTTCACTGTCGTAAAACGCTGGGCTCCTAGAGACGTTTTATGAAAGATGGGCCCTTTGCCTACCTTCATCGATAAATTTACAACGGTCTCCCGGATCCTCGCTGTGCTACTCCATTGAATAAATCTGTTCCTCATCAATATATAATAACTGATAAAATTTTGTATTGACCGGTGCATCCATTACTCCATTTAATAAAACCACATCAATTCAATTAAATAAAATTTTATGTATTATTATTTTTAATGATTTTATTTTTATAATAAAATACTCATTTAATTGCTTGCATTTTCTCTTTAATATTGTTAATAGAAAAATCAATACATATTTAATATCATATGAATATTATGTTTTTATTAAATAAAACATGAAAGATGTGGTGGAATAGCTTCATATAAGACTTTTTATATAATAATTGGCCCTAGGGTTTTATTTTACTTTTACCAGGGCGTTATTATATTATTGTTTTTTAATACAAGTAGGGGATATTAGTTAAGTATTACTAATAATTAATTTAACTTTAAATTTCAATGTTAACGGGCTTAATTTTAAGTTTGGTTTGAGGGGAGAGAGAAGGGGAGGGATGTTACCTTATTTGATTCAAGAAGAGAAGGGAGAAAAAATAATTATATATGAATAATTTTACTCTCATTTCATTAGTGTTGAGATAATGAAAAAGTGTATCTGCATTATTTAAACTTATCATCAAGGACATATTAGTCGGGGTGTAATAAATTTTATCCATCCCCTTCCAATTCCCCCAATTTGGAGGTGAGAGGAGGAAAACCCTATCTTTTAATTTTTCAATCCAAATAAGAGACTTCCCTCTCTTTCAATCAAACACTCTCATCGCTTATCCAACTGGTTTTAATTCTTATTTTACAATGTTCAAACTTTTGACTTTTGTTTGTTTGTTCAAGAGATGCGGAGTCTTTTCTATTCAACTGCTAAGGAATAATAATAGGAAAATGAAAATTGAATGGTGCAAAATGGACCAGCAATAGAAATATCCGGAGAAAAAAGGCGTGCGTAATTAATTTATGTGACTTTGTCACCATCGGGCAGATATTTTACGGGAGCGGGTGCTTCATCGGACGTACACCCACCCAATCTTAGAATTTTAAAATTTTCCACCATTGAATTTAATTTGAACTGTGTCGCCCCCACCGAATGTATGTCCCCATTTGCAGCAACTGTTCGTCAAACTTGATATAGCGGGGGTCAGGTGCCTGGTAGTCATAACTACCAGTCACGCACCAAAATTAAAAACTCACAAGCGATGGCCATTATAACCCAAGCAACTTCTACAACTCCTTCTCCTTCTCCTTCTTCTGCAAAATTAAACCCCAGGATGCCCTGAACGTAGCAAGATAATCTGAAAATGGCATTAGAGGTTGAGTGGTACGATTTTGTATGTTTTGGCATTGTGGGAGTGGCTTTAATAGGAGCCTTATGGGTGCTGGGGAAGAAGGAAGCAGTTTCCCGAAGACAGTACGACACCAGATACGAGAGCCTTCTGGTGGCTCGACCTGATTCTGAAGTAGACGCTACTTCATCATTACCTAAAGGTCATGTGAGCTCCTCCCAGCTATGGACCAGTTGTTTGCGAGAGCTTAACCCTTTGTGGCTCTTGGCAACGCGTTTCACTTCTTTTCTTGTAATGGCCGTTCTTCTAATTTGGGATAGCGTCAAATATAGTGCCACCATCTTTTACTACTATACTGAGTAAGTTCTTTCTTCAACTATTCCTTTTGCTTTCGGTCCTGTCTTCATATATTATTTAGGCTATTGGGGTGGTAGATTTCCTGATATCATCAAGGAATGTCGTCCTTTGTGTTTTGTGTATGGTATATAGCATCTGGTTTCTGCGGACGAAAGAAACTTGGAATTGATTCCTTTCAAACGAAATGTCACAATTTTCTGAAAATAATTGTTTTTTTGAATTGGTTTATTGCTGAAGTCAAATTCTACTGGAATGAGAGACCAAGGTTTAGTTATTTATAAATATTGGACCTCTCTGACTTGGTGCGGAAGCAAGAGATACGACAGTTCGACCAGTTTTTCATACTTAGGCCTCTTTCGCTTACAGAACTTTTTCGTTCATCACATTAATTAATTTGCCACGAAAATCACTCGTTTTCGTAAAAGAATATGTTCACCAAGTCGTGGTTTCTGAATGTTTTGAGTTCAACTGTCTTTCCAAATTCCACTTTCGAGGAACTTCCCCGCCCTCCAAAACTATAAGCCTCTCTGCCCTTTCCTTTAGCTTTTCGTCGAAGGCCTTGAAACGCAGTATGGCCTACGGGTACTGGCTTCAATGGCAAGTTCCTGCCTGTGCTATAATCCTCATTGTGTCGGTCACAATATCTGTATTTCACATCTTGAAGGCCAAAGCAGAGCCCTTGAGTCACAAAGCCCTGTGGATTCCACGCTTGAGAAATCTCAATCCCATGTGGCTTTTCCTGCACAGAGCTTTCGCATTCCTTTGCTTGGCTCGCATTCAGTTTATAATCGTTTCCTCCGGTGGAGCTTTCCCTTTCTATTTTTACACCCAGTAAGATGGATTCTTCTTTTTTCAGTTTCTTCTCGAACAGAACTTACTGGAATTGATAACATATCAACAAATGATAATGGCATAGTGTAATTAATTATTCTTTATGAGGGCATGCGTTATTCTTGTTTCCGGAGCATGGAGGCCTTTTCATTAATGATATTGCACTTATCTGCAGGTGGACTTTCACATTAGTTACGATTTATTTTGCGGTAAGTCAATCACGGCATCTCTCATTTTTTTATGTAAATCACATAGTTATGCAACAGTCACGTCACGTTATCTTGGAAATTGATTAGGACTTGGGAGCTATAGTGTATATGCACACATGACTATAGGCGCATGTAAAGAAGTTCTTGTTTTTCTGAAGAACCTGTATTGTTGTTTCAATTTAGCTGGCAAGCGTAGTATCTGCACATGGATGCTGGCACAACTTAAAACCTGAACATGAGGCAGAAGCCGATTATCTCAGAAGAGATTTAGAAGAGAGTATGTCCTCGAAGACTGCGACATTTAAAGGGAAAGAAACGTGGGGTTCCATGAAGTTGCAGAGCCGATATGCCGAAGAGGAATTTTTACAGAGAGCAGGATTTTGGGGTTACCTCATGCAAATCATATATCAGGTAGGTCAAACATGAGATAGAATAGAGTGGCCTAGTTCAATGCGGTCTATCTACAAGAAATTAATCATGCTTCAAATATTTATTTGTTATCCTATTTTTCGCCTCTCCTTGGTCAAAAGAATTTTCACCAAATCTTGGTTTAAACTAATATCTCTGCATTGAACAGATATGTGGAGGGGCCGTGATCATCACAGACATTGTATTTTGGTGTGTCATAGTACCATTCTTGTCAATCGCCCATTTGAAGCTAAGCCCGGTGAGTAATCTAGTTTTTTTTTTTTTTTGGGGTACAGGAGGGCATAACCCTTTTTGTTGACTTGTTCTTGTGGAAATGAGTTATTGAACAAAGTCCAAAGACAAAGATGATGTGCACAATATTATCTATTGAATAATATTAACGTTTGTTGATCTGCAATAAACACAGCTGATGGGTTGCATGCATACCTTGAATATAGCTTTCCTGCTTGTGGATACCGCTCTAAATAATCTTGTAAGCCTCGCACTCGGTGAAATAAAATCCAATCACTAATTAACACCAGACAACTCAAACATTTGGCACTGTCATTTTTTTCCTCAGCCATTTCCCTGGTTTAGAATGGCTTACTTTGTGCTGTGGAGCTGTGCCTACATCATCTTCCTCTGGATCGCTCGTGCCTGTGGCCTTTCATGGTAAATGAGTAAATGACTATTGCTTCTCGCCTTCTCCTCGTGAAAATTTGACTATTTTATTACCCCTTTGTTTTCTTTTTTAAATGCTTTCTTTTACCATTTCAACACATATATGTAAAATCCATTCTTATCGACAATTATCACTCTCCCAACAGGTGGCCATATCCATTCCTGGAGCTTGACATCCCATGGGCTCCCCTATGGTAAATTTCAATGAACATATCTTCTTCAACTTAAGTGTTTTTCTATTTATAGAAAAGATGATTTAGTGCTTCATGCATGCCGCAGGTACTTCTTCTTGGCTGTGTTCCACATACCCTGCTATTTGTTGTATGTACTCATTGTGAGAGCTAAACATAAGATTCTGGCAAAATTGTTCCAGGATGCATTTTTAAGGCCATAATAAGTGACCTGCTTGACATTGGATTAGTTCTTGTCCTAAATAATATCGAACGTGAATGCTTCATCCTTTTTCCATACCTGCTGTTCATATAAGTTCAATACCAGGTTCAAAACTTTATTGCCAAATTTACGTAGAAGTTGCCCAAGTTAGTTTTTTATCATCCTAAAACGCAACTCCACACGGTCAACCTAAAACAATAGATTGGCAAAGCAGTGGCATGGTCCCCCCGATCACAATACTCTTAACAAACGGCCTGCTAAATTGCAGAACTGATATCGAAAGAGAAATATCATGAACATCATGTAACACAACAACATTGAATATCTCCATATTAATAATGACCAAACTGAGGTGTAATCCTTGTGTTAAAAAAAAAAAAAACTGAAGTGTAATTCTATCGCCCAATATTTTTCTTTCTTGGCACAGCGTAGATCGAGAGTCCCTCTGAAAAGCGTTAGTGGCACATAAGAAACCTAGCAAGCCACACGATTAACCATTCTCTCACCAGGCATTACAAATAATTTCATACATGACAATGTCAAAAGCATAAGTCATAATAGCCCAAGCATTAAATTCAAAATAATGTTAAAATGCAGCCAAAAAAAAAAATAAGACCCATAAGATTGAAGGTATAAGGTAATGCTCACCAAACCTGTGGTTCCTGGGTGGCTTCTGGGTCAATTAAGAGATTGTCAGCCAATTGATCGTGTAGATGCTAAAAAAAAAAAAAAAAAAAACCAAAAGAACAGAAAAGAAAAGATTCCCATCCAGAACCTCTTTACTGTTAGTGTAAGATCGGTTCTGCATTATTCTTGTAATGGCGGACAAATATGAACTTGATTTCAACGCCCAGTCCTTTCTTTATGGAATCCTGTTGATGGGTCTTGTCGCCAGAGGCGTTTTGTCAAGTTCTGAGGCTCTTTGTTTTTCCTCGAGAGTACTGAATTTCCATTTTGCTTCCAGTTCATCCATTTCCGGCATATAGACTTGAATATGAATTCTTGAATTACTTCAATGCTATGTTATGATTGCCATAATACTAATAAGTTATTTGGCAATAATCAGGATAGGAGTTATCGTCATCCCTGAGATTAAAAAAGTATCCATGTTCTTTGATACTCCATTAATTTTTCTTTGCAATTCAGCACTGGCGCGTAATTTCTCTGAATGCTACGGTGCTTGTCCTTTCATATGTGGATATAGTATAAAGCTATATTTTCCAACAGCCCGGCAACATTATTAAAATCCAACTTTAGCAGTAGACGATTTAGATTTGAATACTGTCCGGTACACTAAAGGCATGAAGGCCGTGGGTAACAAGTAACTCCTTAATCACTGGGATTCTTAAACAAGCCACACTAACAAAATTATCGTCTTCAAATATTATATGGTTGTGCGAGTCAAGAAAGGCAGACTGGATAATGTTGAACAGGTTGCGTCATGCCACACGCACCCGATTACTTTTTAAGCACTACTTCCACTATCATCACTCACCATCGCATCCCCTTCCACTTCACACTCACCTGGCTCCGATTCAGTTTCAGATTTCGACCATCACCATGAATCCTCCAAAAGGCACCATTGTCTTCAATACTGTTGGGAGGCCTCAATACGGTTTTGACGTATTCTGCATCAACCTCCAAAACCTTCCACACCAGGTCACCGCAGACCACCGTCTCACCGATGGAATTTCAATCAATTTCAATGCTCAGTTCATAGAAGATCATCGCAGTATCGTCTTTATCTCTGAACGAACCGGATCTCCTCGGATTTATCTGCTCAGCCCCGAATCACCAAAGCCCCAACCTTTACCTTCTGTTTGTGACAGCCTCTTTCATGATCGTCCAATTATAAAAAATGGAAGGATCTATTTCACGTCGGCTCACGAGCAACCCGATCGTCATTTCCAGAGTTTTTCGGCCGTTTACTCCACCAGCTTCCACGGTGAGGAAATTGCGAGGCTGACCCCTTATGGGGTGGTCGATTACAGTCCTGCAGTATCAAAAACCGGCAAATTTATTGCTGTCGCGTCCTATGGGTCTCGTCAATGGGGCGGTGATTTTCGCGAACTCAAAACTGACATCGTTGTTTTCAGCGAATCCAACCCAGAAAAACGTATTGTGGTGTGCGAGCGAGGTGGATGGCCCACTTGGTCTGGGGACTCGACCATCTACTTTCACAGAATAGCTGATGACGGGTGGTGGAGCATTTTCCGGGTAGATTTACCCGATTCTGAACTTTCTGGGTCTCCAAAACCACCAGTTCGGCTCACTCCACCAGCGGTACACTGCTTCACCCCAGCGTCCATGCATGATGGAAAGCGAATTGCCGTCGCGACTCGCCGGCACGGCACAGATTTCCGACATATTGAAATTTTTTATATCGAGACCAAGACATTTCAGCCAATTACTGGGATAATCAACCCGAATATTCATCACTACAATCCATTTGTATCTCCAAATTCAGACTTCCTCGGGTACCATCGATTCCGTGGAGAGTCAATCAAGGAGGGGGAGTCCATAATCCCCCATCTTGAGCCGGTGATGTCTCCGGCTCCGAATATGCGGTTGCTAAGACTCAACGGTTCGTTTCCAACCTTCTCACCTGACGGCAATCTCATTGCGTTCAATCACAACTTTGATAAGAACTCCGGAGGGAAGATAATTAAATCCGACGGCTCCAAAAGATGGACCTTGTTTGAAGGGCGTACGTCATTCTACAACTCGTGGAGTCCCACCGAGAAGCACGTGATCTACACCTCCATTGGTCCAATCTTCGAGTCACCAAAAACAACGGTCCAGATTGCACGTATCACGTTCAAACCCTCAACTCTCACCGATGACCGCGAACACATACCCTGTGATATAAAGATTCTTACCAGAGATGACACCGGCAATAATGCGTTCCCGTCATGCTCCCCAGACGGGAAGTCCTTGGTTTTTCGGTCAGGTAGGTCTGGGCACAAGAACCTTTACATTGTTGATGCCGTAGAAGGCGAGTTCAATGGAGGCATACGACAGTTAACGGATGGGCCGTGGATAGATACAATGCCGAGTTGGTCACCAAAGGGGGATCTAATCGCTTTCTCATCAAATAGACATAATCCAAATAATGTCGAGAGATTTAGCATATACGCGGTGAAGCCCGATGGCTCTGGTTTGAGGAGAATTTATGTCGCCGGCAAGGAGGGTTCAGGAGAAGTGGACAAGGAGAGGATCAACCACGTGTGCATCAGCGAGGATGGGGAGTGGTTGCTCTTTACGGACAACTTGGCGGGGGTGACGGCGGAGCCGGTGTCGCTTCCGAATCAGTTTCAACCGTATGGGGACTTGCACATGGTGAGGCTAGACGGGACTGGGCTGAGGAGGCTGACGTGTAATGCATACGAAAATGGGACGCCGATGTGGCACCCAAGCGATGAGATGGACATGGGCCGCTTGTGCTTGGAGGATGGAATTGGAGATAAGGTGAAGGGCGATTTTGAAGAACCACTTTGGATCTCCTGCGACATGTGAGTTTATCTTTTGAATATTTTAGTGTGGCGTTAAATAAGTTTGCTATTTGTCCCTTCGGGCACATCCCGTAAATAAATTTTCTATTTGTTTACGGACTGCACTTGGGAGCTCCGCAATAATGACGTCACACCTGGTTTGTTGTTCCACATGCTGCTTTGTCATGTTACCAACTATGGAGTAGTGAATAAATATTGGTTCTCCTTCGGTTTTGGTACTCATCAGATGATACGTAGGACGATTGAAGAGTTGTTTGGTTGAAAGAAAGGGAAAAAAAATTTCTCTCTCCTTCCCTCCAAAACTCCCTCTTCCAAATTGAGGGATCTATCCCTCCCCTCCCCTCCATTTCCTTTTCCTCAAATCAAACAGGACCTTTATCAATTTTATTTTTATATTTTAATATGTATTTATTAAATTATAAAATATAAAATTTTAATAAATTTATTTTATTATGAATTTAGACAATATAGATTTAATTTAAATAATTTAATTTAATATTAGTTTTTTTAAAAAAATTACAATATTCTTCACTTCCAATTATCTTTAATATACAACATGGACTATGAAAGTTAAATAGATCACTATTCATCATTCACAGCACTAACCATATATTATTAAAAAAATACAACATTGAGAATAAATTTTTTCTTGCATGCATTTATTATTTACTATCAGCTTCCATAATTAAAAAAAATAAAATATACGATTTACGAATATTTATCCACGTTTATTATTGAAACCTATTTCTATAATTAAACATATTTTTGGATGAAATAAAAATATTGTAATTTTGTAAATTAACATATTTACTGATTTAGAACATTAATTATAAAATAATCCCGGGCGTTCGGGTATCCAGAAATAATCAATATTACGTTCAAATGTTATTTTTAATAATAAATTAAAAGATAAAGAAGAAAAAGCCAGAGCATCATAAAATATTTTTACTAATAGTATGTCTAAATTAACGAATCAGCTAAAAATATAATGGGAGAATATGATATTTAGATGGAGGAATAAATCTTTTATATTTATTAATTGATATTTGATGATAAAGGTGTCAAAAGCATTGGAAGAGTTAAAAAAGCATGAATCTCTGAATACATTAATTATAGTAATTTGAGTTCGAACAAAGGGAAGGTGGCGAGAATGAATGATGATTGAGGATTGAAAATATCTTATTACTATTAGGTATTGAGAAAATTTTAATATCAATAGTTAAATGGAATAAATTATGAATTATTAAATAGTATTTGGAGAAGCTTTGTCCATCTTCTTTTACATATTTCTATGTCAAATTTTCATTTAGATCTCCGCGCAAATTCACATTTTTTTTTTGTAGAGATTTTTTTTCAAGGTCGGATTTTTAATAATTATTGCACCCACAATTTTTTGTCATTAGTTGTATCGGATTTCTTTTGTACATTTGTTGTTTTTCTTCTTCAACTATTTCCTTTCTTCTTTGACTCCTCTCTGTATTTTCTTATTGTTGATATGGTTATGAATAAAAAAAAATATTTAAAAACATATGCTATTTATAACAGGCATGAGAAGAATTGAATCACGCTTCATCATTTTAAAAAGTTTTGAATTTTATCTCTTCACGTAAAAAATTTTATACTAGTAACTACAATTTTAAAAATAATTTCCCCTTTTCCTCCCAAGAAAAATTTGTTGTGTCCCCTTAAAATTTTAAAAATACGTATATTTGAAAATATAAATTTCTTAAATAACTTGTATAAGATTAAAATTCAATTTTCTTTTTATCTATCAAATCATGCTCATCTTTGCTTAATAATTTATGTTACATTTTTTAGTTCTTTTAACTTCTTTTAACGTTAATACATAAATTTAAAAACGCGATGCAATTTCTAAAATTGAATTTGGTGTGGTCTCTTATAATTAACATAAAATGGCACACAAATACATTTGATACTTTCTTTGCTTTATTTATAGGAAATAAAATCTTAAATTTACATCACAAAGATATGTCACACATCAAACATCAAACATAGAGAACGAAGCTCTTCATTAGGAAGCCAGGAACATGGATCTCTAGCTCTACAATTTTCTTCATTTCAGTTGTACGATTCCTCTCTTCAATTGTTTCTAATAATTTGTGCATAAGAAATAAAGCGTGTAGGTAAAGAATTGTATCTAAAAAGCAATGGTCATATTCAAGACCAAAAAAGGTGGAGAGATTGGACTCCAAAGTACTGTAGTAATAATTGAAAAAAAAAAAAAAGGGAGAAGCCTACCCTGAAGTGATAGACCTCCTTCCTCACATCTAAATAGGGTGAGAGTTTCAATATATGATTGATATTTTGTTCATTAAACATCATATTGACCAATATATTTTAAGTTCTCCCAATGAAAAAAAAATAAAAAATCTGAATGATGATTGATCATATTAGGCATTGGAGGCTTAAAAATTAATGCATTAGAAGCATGAATGTAAAAATGAAATGCATTAAGAGACGCGAAGAAGTAAAGATTTTATTAAAAATAATGAAATTATAAGTAGATGGGAAACAAAGAAGTGGGAATACGAGGATCAATAGTTGAAAATAATAAAAGGATTAGGTTAGACTAAAAGAGTGACCCTCTCTTGTGTCCACTCAATGCTCTTAATAATTTTATGGACAATGCATTTTGTTTTACTTGGACACGGTGTGATTTATTTTCCAAATTTCATAAAGTGCTAGGACCTTTACTTTGGAATTGTAAGGGGTGAGAAAGAGTAATTATTGATAAGTCAGACAATGAGATAAAACAATAATGAATTTGAATTTAAATTTCTACTTTGGAAAAAAAGGGGCTAAAAATTACAATAAATGATCAAAAAAAATTATGGACAATGATCCAAAAAAATTACATAACATGACCAAAAAATTTATTGGTCATTTTTTATAATTTTAAAGGTCATTTTCTAATCAACTAACATCAAAATGAACTTTATTTAACAATAAAAGCAAGATTGTACTGTTTTTAAAAGTTAAAGAAACACTTTGTAGAGAAAATAAAGGAAAAATTAATCATTTAATTTTTATAATTTTAACCTAGTTATAACTTAATCCCTAAATCTTGACTCGTTATAGCTTATTTTTTGAAGTTTTGACTTGATTATAAATCAGTCACTGAACTTTATCTCTTACAATTTAGTCTCTGAAGTTTCAACCTCTTAAATATTGATCCCAATATTTAAAAATAAAATTATAAAAATTTAAAATATTTTAAAATTTATTACTAATATCTTAAATTACTAAACCATTTTAATACTTATAAATACTAAAAGTTAAAAATATTTTAAATTTTTATAATTTTAGTTTTAAAAAAATATAGGGACTAATATTTAAGAAGTTGAAACTTTAAAAACTAAATTGTAAGAGACAAAATTTAAGGACTGATTTACAACTGAGTCAAAACTTCAGAGACTGAATTATAACGAGTCAAAATTCAAAGATTGGGTTATAACTAAATTAAAACTATAAAGACCAAATGATTAATTTTTTCAAAAATAAATTTAGGATCTCAAATGTTTTTACATTTATAATTTAGAAATCGATTTACTCATTTATAAAAATATATATTTGAAAGTACTACAACCATTGATTGTAGCATAAGAAATGGTGAGCCAAGATAATAATGAATTTGAATGGTGAGATAACAAAGGCGGAGTCTTATGTAATTTGTAAAGGCAAAATTGCTAACTGCAAAGGCTATAATAAATTTAAGTGAAAATATAATTTTTAATTTCTACACCTTGCTTATATTTTGTCACAAGTTCTAGCACTTTTTTTTTTCGTATTTTGAATCATTGTACTTTCATTTTTTAATGTTTTAAATTTTATGTAGAATATTTTAAAAAGTGTATAGACTTATCACAAAACACGATAAAGTGCAGGACAACAAATAATGTTTTCCTTAAATTTAAATATAATTGAAAATTATAGAGAGGTAAGAAAAAGTCATTAGCATTGATTAGTTAACTGGTGAGATAAGATAATAATAAAGTTGAATTTGAATTTAAATTTAAATTGCTATATATACCCAAAAAAATTAAAACACTTGGAATTACTATTAACACTGATCATAAAGCATAAAAAATGTGAAGTCTCATTAACTACAGGGTAAGATAAAATACAAAACAATGAATTTAAAGCTTGATAAAAAGTGGGCATCACATAAGAGTGAAATTTTCATTTATTTATGCTTTTTTTTTGGACGAGGATTTATGCTTTCTTTATAAACAAGCACATGATCCATTAAGTATAATTACTGTTCACCAGGATTTATCCATCACAAAAATTCAATAACTAACTATTTTTTTACCTGTCAATAAAATTTTTAAAATTTCAACAACTAAAAAGATATATTCCTCCATCTAAATACCATATTCTCACAATAAAATAAAATTTGATGTTTTGTAAAAGTTGTTATTAAAATTAATATTAAATTTAAGACTGTATTGGAGAATGAAATTATAAATGGATGAAAAATAAAAAGATAGGAGCACAAGAATTAATAATTAACAATTGAAAATGAAATACTAAAGAAACTACGTAGATTGATGGTTGAAAATATGGTAATGAATTTAATTGACAAATTTGACCAATAAGATAAAAAGGTGATGTGAAACGATGAATTCCATAGTGTGATAACAAATTTAATTGACTATTCAGAATTTTCTTAAAAATGTGACAATGAATTTAATTGATCAATCAAATTTCACTCACTATTATTTAAAGATATAAATTGGCTAATTAAATTTTACTTACTAAGATTTGAGGATATAAAATATACTCACAATATTTGAAAATATAAATACATAGATATAATATTATTATTGTTAATTAATAATAATAAGGTAAATAGATGGATAGACAGAATCTAGATGGACAGGATAGTATTACTTATTAATGACGACAGATAATAGACAGGATATTAATATTTGAAAATATAAATAGATAGATAAAAGATATATATATATATATATATTATTGTTAATTAATAATAATAAGGTAAATAGATAGATAGATAGAATATAAATAGATAGGATATTATTAATTATTAATGATAACAGATAGATAGATAGGACATCATTAATTGTTAATGACAATGATAATAAGCTAAAAATTTCATAACTAAGACTTGAATCCTAGGATATTGTTAATTATTATTATTATTATTGTTCAAATTGTCCCCAGTCATGCTCGAGCGGTCGGCTTTTAGACTTGCCTGGTGGGGTTTGGTGTGGCGAGGATCGTGGTTGGGCGGCGAATTACGGATTCGGAGAGCTTTCCAGTTTCCACATGAGTTGTTATTTCTTACTTCACAAAATTGCCTGATCCTCCCAGCCTTGACCCTTCCTTTTCTTATCCTAAACTAATTGCTCCGCTCCTACGACGCAGAATTATTATCACTTTGAATTTGAATTTGAATCTTTCTTGCCACCGTGATCAAATTGTTGGGGGCAACCATTTTTAAAACCTAGATTCGTCTCCTGCGATTGGCCATCCGAATTAGGGTTATATTCTCTCGGTTTCGGTATCTAAAGAAGTTATGGACGACTGCTGTGCGGTCTGCGCCGAACCTTTGGAATGGGTTGCGTACGGTCCCTGTTTGCACCGGGACGTTTGCTCGACCTGCGTTGCTCGTCTCCGTTTCATATGCGACGATCGTCGTTGTTGCATCTGCAAGACCCAGTGTGACCGTGTTTTTGTCACGAAGGTAGGTCAATCGGGCATTGTATTTACTCCTCCAATGCGCGCCGAGCTTCCCTCATTTTTGGCTGGATTTATTATATCGGTTATCGTTGATGCTTAACAACGTAATTCTGAAATCTGTTAATCTTGCATACATGGCGGTGCTCCTGTCTGGCATTATTTCTAGCTAATATAGATGCCTATATTTTTGTTGGCAAGCATACAGCTCAAATTTGATGTGGGTTAACATTAGATAGGACGAATTTACTTGCTGAGTGATCAGCCTTTTTTGTGTTAATAAGCGTAAAGAGGGATATGCTTAAATTTAGAAGTCAGTTCACTGTTTATCTACTTTGGGTCAGTAAACCGTTCATCTTTTTGGGCTCATTGTCATTATTTTTTTCCTGTCACATTTCCACTGCTTTTGTAGCATTTCTGATTTTTTATTTATATTCTGGATCTCTTTTGTAGCAGTTCCATCGCATCTTCTGCATGTCACTGGGATAATGTGCTAGCTAATAAATAAATGAATAAGTTGGACAGAGATAGGTTTGATTAAAGAAAAAAGGATTGTTTGCTAATTTTGCTCGTTGACTGTACCTTCATTCCACTTTACTGTCTAGTGCAAATCTCCGATTGTCTGGTTCCAGTGCCCCAAGCAATAATAGCATCAATTTCCAATTTCTAGATTAACTCCATTCATCCCTCAGTAGAGTTCAATTGCGTTCTCCTTATTAATGATTATGTTGATTGATGATAACATAATCTCCTTTGCTACCATTTCAGCCTTTAAATGCTAACTTTATGATTTACCGCCTCAGCACTTGACTATGAGTTTTCCACTACTATAATCACTATCATGCAATTGCCTTGAGTCCTGGACCATCATTTTATTGTAATTCTGATAGTTTATGAACAGATGGTGGGAAATTTGTTTTATGGAATGGTAAAATATAATGATCTGTGCTTTTGTCATTATTTTTTTTGCCTTTTGTGGCTGTAAATGCATTTTGAATTAGAATGATGTCTTCATAGTTGATCATTCACTTCCTTTCCCTTGTTACGGGGATAATTTGGAAAAATGCTTAAATTGAGCTGAATTTGGATGCCTCTAGGCATTTATTTCTAGAAATCCGACCAGTGCTTCTAAGCTGTGTCTTAGAGATTTGGAGAGATTGTTTTGAACTGAGAGCCTGATGACATTACATACAACAGTATATGTCTTTCAATCAATAAGTTGGCATATGATAGGTGTACTGCTGATGCCCCTTCTTCATGCTATTTCAGCTTGCTTTTCACTTTTAAATTCTAATTTTGGGCAGAAAGAGAACAGAAACACTCTTGCCCATGTGAACCAAAGCACTGCAATAAAAAAATACAATATAGAGACAAGAAAATAGGTAAAAGTAATTTGAAATAACCCTTCATGTGGATTCTGAAAAATTATGACACAAACAAAAACTAAATAAATGCAGTAGTTATGTTAATTTTAAGTTATTAACAATATATAAAATGCACTTCTCATGTTAAAAACTTAAATGATATTTTAAATTTAAATTTATAATGCCTTTTTGTATGGTAATGTCCTAGTTTGCATGGGCTTTTTTGATGGCATTATATGGTTTTTGGGCTTGGAATCCTAGTTAGACTCCATATGACTAAGGTGCACTAAAGTACTTTCTCCACGTAAAAGTTGCCATTTGCTAAATGTGCTTGCCTTTTTGGTGCACTAGTGAAGCCGCCACCTACCCTTTAACAACACTGAATCAACTGCCATTCGAAGAGTGGATTACCTCTTTGAGTGAAGAATGCTAGGGCTTTGTATACCCTTAACCCATGTTTATTCCTCTCGGTTCACATTTTTTCATTTCATTCCATTTTCTAAATAGAGCTGTGTCAACTTCTATACATCTTGCGAATCAAGCAAAGAAACTATCACGCCACATCATCCATCTTTTTGATAGAGGAGAGGTAAAAGGAACGGTATAGTGATCGTGTCTGTTTGTTTCTGCTTTACATTATTTTCTTCTTTTCTTTACATTACATAAGGCCTTTATTACTTATTAATGCTTGTGTTTAGGATCTGTATATTCTGGAAGAAATTTGGTTATTAATGCTTGTGTTTAGGATCTATCTATGCTGGAAGAAATTTGGTTTTGAATGTGTTTGATAGAAAGCTAGAAAGTTGGTTTGGATTATTTTTAGTTTATTTCAGCTGTTGTTGCATGTTGACTTTCATTGAAATGCATTGGTGCTGCCATCGTTGCAGGCTCTAGGAGATTTTACAAGGATGATTAATGACTTCTCAGTGCTGCCATCTGATGTAAGGGAGGGTCAGGTGGGTTCATACTGGTACCATGAAGATACAAATGCTTTTTTTGATGATGCGGACCACTACAAGATGATCAAGGCTATGTGCAAGCTTTCATGTAGTGTATGTGACAAGATGGAGGAGCAAGCACATGATGCCTCAAAGCGTCGAGCAAGGTTTAGGAATATAGAACAGCTAAAGGGTCACTTGTACCGATTTCACAGGTTGCTCATGTGCAGTTTATGTTTGGAAGGAAGGAAGGTTGGTAACACTCGCATGTTTTGCATCTTGTTGGAATTTTGGATGTTAGTTACTAAATCTTTGTTCCCCCTTAAATATTGACACTTAAGATTTTTTTTTTATTTTTACCATAATTTCTGTGATACAGGTATTCATTTGTGAACAAAAGCTATATACTAGAGCACAGTTAAATCAGCATATAAACACAGGTGATTCTGAGGTGGATGGAAGTGAGAGTGAGAGAGGTGGTTTTATGGGGCATCCTATGTGTGAATTCTGCCGATCCCCATTTTATGGGGACAATGAACTATACACTCATATGTCAACAGAACATTTTACTTGTCATATATGCCAAAGGTAACATTTGAGCTAACCATCTATTTTGTTTGATAATGTGCTAATATGCTAGGTTTAATGTTATAGATGTAATCCTGAAATGTATACTTTTTAATGCAGGCAACATCCAGGACACTATGAATATTATAAGAATTATGATGACTTAGAGGCAAGATATATAACTGTTGCTTTTCCTCTTAATCGCAGAGTAAATGGATAAATATTTTTTACCCTCATTTGAGCTCTTGAGTATTTGTGTAAACAGACCCACTTCCGTCAAGAGCACTTCTTATGTGAAGACGAAGGTTGCCTTGCTAAGAAGTTCATTGTATTTCAATCTGAAGCAGAGATGAAGGTGATTCTGTGGATATTTTTTTCCTCCATATTTTTTGGTTTTAATTATGTATTTGGCATGTGTTTGTTGTACATGCATGGTCATCACCAATGCTTTTAAAACTGGACAGATTATTAAACTGTTGAAAGGTTTTATGATTCATTGGTTCAGTCATGATCAAACTAGTGATAGTTAAATACGGGATTTTTGTTTTATATATTAAAAATTTACAATGGTAAACAACAAAAAGAACAGACATATATGAATATATTTTAAACTTTCCAAACCACTGATACTTGATAAGTGGATAGTGGAGTCAGTGTCAGTGTCACCAACTTTGCACTGGAGGTGAGGTTATCCTTTTCAAGCAAAATTTTGCAGGTTTGTTTATAAAAATTTGTGGATACAATGGTTAAATGTCTTATGCTAAAGGTGTTGGCTCACATGAAGCAGCCCCTTGTTTGAGTCTGCAGGTGGACTTTGGAATTAGGAGGGATATGAGCATGGGTTCGTTCAGGATCTGCTAAGACCTTAATTGTTTCCGTAACAGTTCAAAAAATGAGCTTATAAAAAACGTATTCGCACAAGAATCTGAAAGGAACTGAAATATATTACTTACGTACAAGTATAGCTTTCTAATTCATATGTCACCTAGTGATACAAGTAGTATCGCGGCACTAAAGCTGCGGACACTAAACTACAAACACAGATGATACAAACGATGCTGAGAGCGAAGATATAAGCAACAGTACGGAATGCTAACAAAGATGGAGAACAAGAGTATTAAAAATCTGTTACAACAGACAAACACAAACACAACACAATACCTTCCAAATACTGAACGGAGAACAAGTTTGCCTAACTTTTGAGGTCGGCTCTCTCCACCAAGACCTGACTGGAACTTTTCTTCTCTCTTCCTTCAACCTTCCTAGCTATTCTCTTTCCCACTCTCATCTTACTAACTCCTCCCTCTAGCCTTCAACATTGCTCCCTTCTTTTGTTCCTTTACTTTTCTATCTTTTTTGCATATGAACTTGTGTTTTCTTCTGGATCAATAGCCCCCCCTCCCCCGCCAAAAGGGAAAAAAAATTCTGCCATTATTTGCCATTCCCCTATATCTTCATGCGTGCATGTTGGCGGCAGTAGTGGGTTGGGACCTATCAGTTTGCTGGTTTGCTGATTTCTTGCTAAACCCACCTGGTTCAATTCTTTTTTTTTTTACCGCTATTGATTGGTTCCTACACAAATCAGTTCACAGGACTATCCAGACTGGACCTCAGGCCAATTTACTGGTTTTCCATGTGAATTGGCCATCAGTCTAGTTTACAAACTATGGTCCTAGCTCATTCTAGTTTACTCTACATGCTTTTGCATCTCTCTGCTTATTGTTTGAACTTTATATATTACATTGCAGTTTTATATGACTTGTGTTTTTGTTGTGTGGTTACCATTTCATTCATTCTTAATGATATTTTCCTTGTCTGCCAATTGATTAGAGGCATAATGCTATTGAACATGGAGGGCGAATGTCAAGGTCAAAACGCAATGCTGCACTTCAGGCATGTTCAGTGACTCAATATCAAATAATTAGATTTTGTTCGCTTCTTATTCTCTTACATTGGCTTTTATTCTTTTCCCTGAAGATTCCAACTAGTTTCCGATACAGACACAGTAATCAACAAGATCAACGGCGTGGAAGAGGCCGGACATTTCGTCGTGATCTTTCTGAAAGTGAACTTTCTATGACCATTCAAGCCAGTTTTGACACAGCTAGTGTAGAGTACACAAGTCATGATCCAGCTACATCAAGCAGTGGACAAGATGCTCTTGGTTATGGGAACTTTGATAATGAGCCAGCCTTCCAATCATCTGAATCCTTAGCTACATCAAGTTCTGAGTCATCTTCAAGATACCTCCAAGCCTTGGGGCAAAATTCAAGGAGTTCACCATTGGAAGATTCCTCCTTCCCTCCACTTCCCTTGACATCAATCAATGGCCAACCAAAGCCCCAAAATGAGCCTGAAAGTTCATCTAGTAACACTATGGCAGCACATTTGCGTCGGCATGGCAGCAGAAATGTATCTACTTTTGATTCTGCTAATGGCTGGCCAGTGGCAGGTCGTGGATCCGTGCAACCATCAAGTAATCCTAAGCAATCTAAAAAGCCAACAAATGTTGCTCCTGGAGTGTCAGGCAATTCCAGTCAGCCAAAGACTGTCATCAATCATGGACCTGCACCTTCAACCTATGCTAGTTCTGTCCAGGCTGTGCAGAGAACTGCTCATGGACATCTGTCTCCTGGCACATCAAGGGAAATGCGTGACAATGTTAGAATATTTCATTCTGCATCTGCTCCAAATCTCATTGCAAGTGGTCCTTTGGAACCCTCATTTTCTGATTTCCCTCCAGTATCATCTACAAAAATAAACAAATTGCCTCAGAGTAGGCAGTCTTTGACGAATGTGGAGGATGTTCATTCTGCTAACAAGTCCTTGGTTGCAAAGATCCGTTGTGCTCTTGATTTTGATCAAGATAGATACACCCTTTTTAAAGACATCTCTGCTCAATATCGCCAAGGAATAATTGATACAGGCACATATTTGGATCACGTGCAGCAGTTTGGATTGTCTCATCTTGTACTTGAGTTAGCTAGGCTGTGTCCTGATCCACAGAAGCAGAAAGAATTAGTTGATTCTCACAATGCTAGTTTGCAAAGAATTGCTTTGCGAGAAAATGATTGGGGTGGCAGTAGTATCCATCACAAAGATGGCAAGGTCTCCAAGAAAGGTAAAGGTAAAGGTAAGGTTAAAGGAAAATCCATAGATCTTGAAGAGAGGAACTTCAAAGAGAATTTAGGAGATAGCTTTATAAGCACTGTACGTCAATTACAGTTGAATCACGAGCCTTCGGAAGAGAATGAACAGGTACTATCAAAGGGTGATTACCGTAGTGCCAAAGGTAAGTCGAAAATTTTGGCTGATGAACAACTGATTGGTACTAATTCTGGTAGTATCCCGAAGCATTCTGAGCAGAGTGAAACATCGCGTGGTGGTTTTCCTAACCAGCCTAAAGATGAAGGGGCTAGTGGGAGCAAGCAACGCAAGAAAACTTCTAGGTTCCACAGAGTGCGCCTTGGTGATGGTTCTGTGGAAGCATTGTTGGATCTCAAGAGTTCAAATACCAACTCAGATCCTGGATCAACAGAGGCCTTGGAAGGTAGTAAGAGCGATGCAGGAGGGCTGCCTGTACGAGGTGTCTGGCGGAATGGGGGTGGTCATAAACTCTTTTCCTAACTTCCTTTGGCTTGGGAAAGTGAAGGATTTCATGTAAGTTAGAGCTAGCTGGCAAAGAAACAGTAGTTGAAATTTAAAAAAAAAAAAAAAAAACCCCCACTTTTGGCTTGGAAAATTGTGTCCAAAATTGTGTTGATTTTTTGTTTGGCAAAGTCGTGAATTTCCGTTATGTTGAATGCATAGTGTCATTGCCTGGATGGTGGATTAATTTTCGCATGGTTTGAGTTTATATTTTGATAATGTGTTTATGCTTTGTGTATCCGATATGCGTTGCTTTTCCAAGAGCAATCTGTTCTCTACAGGTTCTGTTGCTCATTTCGGGAGTCATTCAAATCAATATGTGGCTGAACTTGAAGCGACAGTGACTGTGCCTTTCCGTTAAAAAAAAATTTGCAACTGAGGTTAGAAACCAATTGAGTTTAGCAAATTAAAATTAAAAAAATCAATTGAGTTTGGCAAACTAAAATTAGGTAAGAAAAAAAGTTTATGATTGTAATGTTATTTATGGTTGGATATTATGTCAGTAACATGTTTGAATAATTTAATTTAAAAATTAATTGAGATGTATAATGAAAAAAATAGATGAGTTTGTTGTATATATTTTTGTGGCTAATTTGATTTTTTTAAAAAAAATATTTAACTTAAAATCACTTTTTTAAAATAGATTAAAAATATAATTCAAAAATAAGTTTAGATATATAATGATTAAAGAAGACATGAATTTTATAGCATGTGTATAAGTTATATAAATTTAAACTAAATATGATATATATATATATATATATATATAATTTTTTGGTAAATAAAACTACTAAAATTAAAAAAAGACAAGTTATGATTTTTCTTTATTTGTTCTTTTTGTCAATCACAAAACCCTTCTCTTCCCACAGGCTTAAATCTCAACCTCTTTAGATGTATCCGTGTCGTCTCCATAATGAGGATGACAAGCACTAGAAGAGAGAAAAGGGAGTTTCGAGCGGTCATTCCGATACTATGTGAGAGAGAGAAGGGCAAGGAGTGAAAAATGCCCAAAAACACTGCCATGCCATTAATCCAACCTTAACAGCCAAAATTTTCAGCTTTCATTTTAACGTGGCTTTTTTTTTTTTAATTAAGTAACAAATACAAATAGTTCAAACAGGAAAAAAAATACTATTACAACCAAAAGAAGAAGAAGAAATAAAATTCAATAATCCTCTCCAAGACTCAGGCAATAATTCTATCCAGTACTAAAAAAAGTTAAGAACTTGAAAATCACCCCATAAAATCTGTGTTATAAAATCTTTGGGTGCTATGCCGATAATGTTCCTAAATAATTTCCTGTTGATAACTATAGTAACGTCAGTAAATCGAGGACCAAAACCATCAACATCAATAATCCATTTGAGAGCTGATCTCATTTCTTTTAAAGCAAATTGTTTTTGACAATCACCTTGGGAAGCTTTATTTCTTCTTCCATTGATGTAAGAGAATTATGTGAAAATTAGTACTTTACTTGCCCTGAGTTGGTGTCTGCTTCTTCCATGGCTTCCATTAACATCAATGAAGAGATACTGGAAATTCCATGGCAATGATTCTTGAGGCACATACTTTACCAAATGATTAGATATCGCCAAATTAATGGTAGCAAAATGCCAATTGATTCTGGCTCTAACTTCCTTTGATGAGACTTCCTCTGCATTGATTTTTCTCCTATTTTGGCATTCCCATAGGATTTGAACAACAAAAAGAACCTCCTTTAGTAATGTCATCCACTGCTAATTAGAAATGGATTTCTTAATCCACCACACTAGAAAAGATTTAATATCAGAAATCTCTCCTCATCTTATAGAAATATTCATGGAAAACAACACAACTCTGGAAAAATCACAATGGAGAAATAAATAATTCATAGATTCCTCTAAATTACCACACATCACGTAGCGCTCAAAAACTTGTAAATGATGCTTCTTTAAAACATTAAGAGATCGGAATAGCTTCATTAACTATCTTTCATGAGAATAGTAAAGTTTGAAAGGTAATTCAATCTTCCAGTAATTTTTCCAATCTACTCCATGAACGAGAGTAGATCTTGGAGATTATTCATCCATTAGCAAAGAAAACCCTTTTTTAACCGAATAAACACCATCAAAAGATTTCGTCTAGACAAGTGCGTCCTTTTGATGATTGAAGAAGGAAAAGGATGTTCCTAAAATATCATAACTCACATTGCAATTGCAAAGAGAGGAGACTAGCTACTCATTCCAAACAGCATTATTTTTGTCTATAAGCCCAGCAACAGTCAAATCACCATTGCCAACATTAACTTTCAAAGGAAACCACTTCACATAGTCAATTGGAATAAAACTTTCATTACCAACCTGCCATTTCAGGTTGTCTGCAACTAGAGATGATACTTTAAGCACATCCTTCAAAATCCAAGAGTAACCAACCTTTGCTTTGTTGTTGCCTTCCAGGATTGGCCTCTAGTATTTGATTTTAAGAGTTCTTCCAATTAAGGAATTATCATCAGCTTCAATCATCCTCCATGCCTGTTTTGCAAGTAAAGCTTTATTCATTTCATGAAAAGGCCAAAATTCAATACCTCCTTCCTTAATGCTGTAGCATAATTTCTTCCATGATAGAAGATGCATACTTTTACCACCCGAGCTAGAAGAGCCCTAAAAAAATCGGCACATAAAGAACCAAGCTTAGAAGCCAGGACTTTAGGCAAAAGGAAACAAGATAATTGATAGATACATGAAGAAGAAATCATAGACTTAATCAAGGTCAATCTCACAGCTTGAGACAACAAAGAAGCTTTCCATCCATAAAGCTTTTTATTGAGCATGCTTAAAATATCAGAAAATATATTCTTTTTGTCTTTGAAGTCATCAATATAAACACCCAGATAGTTTCCAAGCCTATTTGAGTATCTGACATCCAGAATTTTGGCCAAGAAAGTTTGTTATCATCAAAAGTGTTTAGACTAAGGATTATTTCAGATTTTCCAAAATTAACCTCTTGACCCGAGAAATAGCAGAAGTCATCAATAGCTTTTTTTGACATTTTGACATAAAAAATCATTTTCCTAGAAGAATAGAAAGGTGTCATGCGCATAACTCAAATGTGAAACCAGGTGAGCATTTTTACAAAGTTTAATACATTTCCACTTGCCTTGTTCTTCCATCCTTGCTATGTAATGTGAAAGGGCATTTGCACATAAGATGAAGAGGTAAGGAGATAGAGGATCTCCCTTTCTAACTCCCCTACAAAGTATAAACTGCTTCAAAAGATTCCCATTTAAAAGTAGTTGGTAAGAAACAATAGGCACACATTGCATAATTATTGAAATCCAGATTGGCGGAAAGTTCATCTTTGCTAATATCTGATGAAGGAAGTTTTAGGAAACCTTATCAAAAGCCTTAGAACAATCAATTTTAAAAGCTTCCAGCATCGCTTTTGCTTCTTTGTTGAGTGTATATAATTGTCAAGAATGCCACCAAAATATTAGTAGAAATCAATCTTCCTTTAATAAAGCACTTTGATAGGAAGAGATATAATTGTCAAGAATGCACTCCTATTAGCAAGGACCTTAGAAACAATTTTGTAAACCACACTATAAAGACTAATAGGCCTGAAGTCTTTGAATGTCTGTGGCACATCACACGTTGGAATCAAGTGAATGAGAGTCTTATTCAAGCCTTTAAATAGGAAACCTCTTTCTCTAAAAGTATAGATCATATTACAGACATCAACCCCTACAATATCCCAGAAATGTTGAAAGAATTTAGCATGGAAACCATCAAAAGCAGGTGCACTTTGCAACCCAAAAGCTGCTCTTTTGATTTCATCCATTGAAAACTCTTCCATCAAGAAATTTATATGGTTCTGATTCAACTTCAATAAGTTTAGACTTGAAACAAAGTTAGCACTATCCTCCCATGCAACAGAGACTTGAGAGCAAAAGACACCTGTAAAATGCTTGACAACAGGGGATTCAATCATCATTGAATCAGATGTTCATGCATTTTGCTTCTCTTTAATCCTATAAATTGTACTTATTGCTCGATTTGATTTGACAAGGGAGTGAAAGAACTTTGAGCAAAAGCTCTCTCGAGAATTTTGTTATCCAAACAAGATTTGAAACTAGTCAATGGGCCTTTTGCTTCCCAATCTAGGTTAGGCCCCCAAAAGCCCTTTTAATAGCAATCCAAACATAGATTAAGTAGTTCTTGGGTGTTTAACTCGGCCTGCCATTGCATCATTTACCCAGTATCAAATTCAAAGGTTCTTTCTTTCTTGGGTTAAATATTATCCTTACCCTTCAATTATTTTTTGAGAAGCGTTGAATATCCTAAACTGTAAAGTGATACAAAATAAATCATAAATAATAAAAAAATATAGCATCTAGCACCATCGAGCACTTCCTTTTTATTTTAAACAAACATATGTTTGTTGACCGATGATTAGACTAGAAAAAAACTCACATGCCACGTGATTCCCCCCTCCATCTCTCTCGAGTCCACGAAGAGGGCTAGAGTCATGTCTCCGATGGAAGATACGGCAAGCCCTACCGATTCCTCTACACCTATTCAACTTTTTTTTCGCTGATCGTTCACTCTTCACCTTTGGCTACACAAGTCCAAACGTTTATTCCTTCCTTCAATAATCTCGTCAAAGAAATCATCGAGCTGTCCGATGATGTTATCTGCTCCAGGCAGAAGGCCATAATTGTGTCCCCCATTGCACTGGCCGATCTCCGACGCCACTCTCTGCTGTAACCGCTTCGTCGAGATCATGAGCGCCTATCCCAGGAACAATCGTCCCTCGTACTGATGGTCCAGCTGATCATCAAGGCGTCTTTGATCGGATTGGTCCAGCTCACCTTCCACAACCTTCCCTGCGCACGACGAACGCAAACCCAAATTCCAATGCCATTGTTGTTGGCAGTGCTTCTGGTTGCGCTGCTTCTTAGCTGCTCAGATATTATAAAATATTCATAAGTATTTTAAAAAAAATTATTATAAATTAATAATATTAATTATTACTTTCTTGAATCTTACTTATAAGATTCTTTTTAAAAATAATTTTAAATTCAAAATATAAATATTTTATAATAATTAAATTATTTTTTGTAATTTTATGACTTTTTAATTAACGTAATTACATTTAATATAATTATATTATTATTTAAAGTTGAAGATAAAAATAAAAATACATCTTACTTTTTTATGATGTTAAGAAAATTAAATTTTTTAAGATGTGTAAAATAGTTGAAAGTGTCTTATAATAAAAATTAAAGAGAGTATTTAAGTCTATTTATTATTTTATAACATACATTACAACCATTTTTTTTATTGTGATTAGAGTGATTTTATTGCTCGTTATGATGAAATCTACCTATAAAAAGTAATGCTTGCCATATGTTATAGAAGAGCCTTTGTGTTCTCAACCTTTCTCTTCTCTTCTATCACACTGCTTCACTATGTTGCTACTTGAATTTACTTTATGAATTTTTGTTATTCTGTGTCCCTACTTTTTACAGAGAGAGTTCATTTAATTTTAGAGAGCTATTGCATGATCAATTCGATGTGGCGAGATACCTTTTAAATTTAATATCTTGAGCACAACTCAAACTATAATTTTACCTGTTAATACCAGCAACCTTAAGAGCTATTTCTATCATGTTGGTTTTCTTTAATTGTACTAAACTTAGTGAGTTTAGATCCTATGGAGGTGTACAATGAGGCATTGACTTTTGATGATGTTTATGAGCATAATTGGAAATTGGGGCACATGTGAGTGCATAATCATTTGCTAAAATAGGCAATGATGGATATAAATATCGCATGCTAATAATATTTGCAACTTAAGAAAAGTGATAGCTATAGTGCAAGGGAAGCATTCACGTTCCTTAGTAAACTTGACCCAAAAGTGCTCCACAAACATGAAGATCGCTCAGACTTGTTAATTAAGGACGATGAGGTCCTTATAAGGGTCGTTGCCTCTTTGAATCACACCGATAGTCTCCACTAAAAAAACTTATATAAGCCCCCAAGCAAGAAGGATGACTTCCATCATCTGGGTATGCAATGCTAAAATGGTCACCCGCTGGAAAATTAGTGAATGTTTTTTATTATTTCTAAAATGATTAAGGCTGTTTTTTAGAACAGGTGCGTTCTTTTCACAGCTTCAGTGGCAAGAATAATGCGTGCATTGATATTTTGATAACGTGTGCATGAATGTAAATTATCATATATTATAGATCATTATGATGAGACATAATCAGCTTTCAATTTTATAAATATTAAGGGTGGAACATAATGTGAAAAAAATGTGTTACTGTTTAAGGAGTTTGAATATTAATCATGAATTAGTAACGCTGTAGGCTTTGATAGGATTAATATTTGGATGATAATTAAACTAATAAATTAAGAATGCCATTAGCGGATTATAATTTTTGTTTCCGCATCAAGGTTGGAAGAGGTTCCCCTGTGCATTCATTCATTTTGGAACTGGAGAATTGGTTTGGTTGCATGTTGAGTCATAGTAATATTATCATATGCAGTTGATATAGCATATATATTAGTTGGATTGCGTAGTGCATACTAATAATTTTTTCGATTAATGGTGGAGGTGATGGGATATATTATTTAATAAATTTTTATAGTATTTCTCATGTTTGATTGTGTTCATAGTATTGTTAAACTATGATTCTGAATTGTAATTAAGGAGCAAGATTATGAATTGTAAGGCGCAAGTCGATTATGTGCTTGTTGAAATTAAAATTCTGTGAAATTTAATTTAAAGAAAAACATAACTTTAAGTTTTTATACTTTACTCAAATTTTGTTATAGGTTCTTACATTTTTTTTAATGTTTTAGGTCATTATATTTTTATTTGTTAGTATTTTAAAACACCACAAATAAAAGTGTAGGGACTTGGAATACACAAAAAAATGTAGGAACCAGAAGTAAAACTCAAATAAAGTATATGGACTCAATTATATTTTCTCTTAATTTAATATCCATATTTCTTGTATATGTGTATATTGATGTTCAGTTTTATTATTCCATTTCATTTGCTCGTGTTGCTGTCATACTATGTTACGATGATATACATTATGATTTTAATTAAAGTGTAGTAAAATATGCATCTTTATAACTATAAATATATTTATTGTGGGCTTTATAATTTTGGCAGTATTGAGACATAAGATTTGATTCACAATGATGGTCACGTGACTTTATGAGTGTGAAAATAAATTATATCATATGACTTTAAGTGTCAAAATTGTAATTGTTTCAATGAAATTTATGTTGATTTTGTTGTCCTAAAGAAAATTATATGGCATTAAATTTGAGTATTTTATTTGGTGAATTTATTAAAAATTATGAGAAACTATAATTTAATTAAAATTATTTAAGGCATGAAATATTTTTCTTATAATTGAAATATTTAAAAGTGTGGGGATGTTTAGCAAAAATTGTTTTGATTTACCACAAAAAGTGTGTTGTGTCAAATTGTTAGCCTTATTTTATGAATGCCAAGATGTTTTTGTGGTGTGATTTAGAGAGATAAATTAATTAAAAGGAGGCTATTATTTGGATGAGGGCCAAGTTTGAAATTTTATGTCTTGAACAAGCATTATGATGGTGATATAAAATTTAATCATTTATTTAGTGTAGATAAATATATTTTAAAATAAGAGCATGACTTATTTAATTAACTTAGCATGAACATTCATTATTGTGATTGTGAACAATGATTTATTTATGTATTATGATTTATATGAGATAAATAGAATATTTTTTAAATTATGAATTTATGAATAATAGATCCTCAATGTGTAAAATATATTGATGTTAATTTGAGAAGAGTCTCTAGTGATTAAACACCCTTAGTGGTGATGAAAACAAATATAATAATAAGACCACAGAGAGTTTATTACTCTGAAGTTAGAGGCTAAGTTGTGAAAAATCTTCTTAACAATTATTTTGGTGTAAATCTGACATTTAATATCGATGAAAATTTTCATGATACAAACATGTTATTAAAAAAAGAATCTAAATGTGATGATTTTATTGCTTAATCTGTGTGCATGCACAAATTTTTGAGAGATTGTTACATTAATCAATATTAGTCATAACATATACTGTGTGGAGATTGAGCACATCAAGTATAGTCTCATTGAAAGATGAGACAAACAATTATTTAAGGGATACCATAAATATTGGTATCATGAATAATGGATTTCTATTATGTTAAAATGATACAATGAAGTAGCTAAATTTTATATTCTGATATAGAAAAATCCATTGGCAACCCAATAAAATATTATGTGATCCAGAGTATATTATTCTAAAGTTGGCTAGTAATGAGGTTGAGTAGTTGAGAAATTTCTTGATAAATATTATATTGAGAATAAAAATGGCATACTATGTTGATGTTTTGTGTAATCACCAAATGGCAATAGTTATTGTATAGAGAACATTAACACAAGTGAACATCATTTGAGATACGATTAAGCATGCTAAAAAATGAAGTTATCTCAATCAATTGTGTGAGATTGTATATAAATCTAGCGAAATCATTAACTAGCCCCTGAGGAAGAAATTAATTATTAAAATTTCAAGGGGAATGGGATTTGAGCTAATTTGAAATTAACAGTGATAACAATCCAACATTTATAATTAGAATTTCTATTAAGAAGGTTCAATGGATAAGAATGAGTCATTTGTTAGTTCTACTATCATTAAATTTTTGTCCTTTCATATAGCTTAAGAAAGCACTAGAATTCATTGATCGGAGGCTGAGTAAAAACTTTTAATGATTTTCATAATCTTTATGGATAATGTATTCATTTTAAATGCCCTTGATGAAATCACTTATATGAACATTGAGTGGGGTCGCTCCTAAAAAAATTTATGAGGTAGGTTCAAAAGGAATTATTATAAATTAAGAATATTAATTATTATTTAAGTCTAGTTATTATTTTGTGACATATAATTTAAACAGCATTATAATTTGAAACCATTTTTAAATTATAATTAAGGTGGTTTTATTGTTTAACATCACGAGATATGCTTATAAAAGATAGTGCTTGTCATGGAAGAGCCTTTATGCTCTCGGCCTTTCTATTCTCTTCTATCATACTACTTTGTTATGTTATTGTCTGAGTTTATTATGTGATTTTTTTGTTGTTTTGTGTCCCTGCTTGTTATAGAAAAAGATTGTTTAATCTTGGGGAGATGCCATGTAATCAACCTAATATGATATAATAGCTCTTAAAGACAATGTCATTAGGCACTACTCAGACTATTATTTTACCTGTTGATGCCAACACTCAGTCTAACTATTATAAAGTAGGAAGCAAATAAGTTTGCTTATCTTTCATAGATTAATAAATACATGTAGCTTGCTTGATGACATTGAGCTTATATAAGACACATATTGGGTGACTGAATAGAGACATTAAAACTAGCTTGATAGCTTTGCCTCACAACTCCCATAAGCAAACTCTATTAGATCCACAACTCAATATCTTTTGAAAGTTGTAAAGGACTTATATCTCAAAAGCAAAGCACATCCCACTTCATTACATAAAATTATTTGTCTTCGTGAATCCTCCAGCAAAACAGGGTCGTAAAGATATGGAAGTTGTATCTTAGAAATGAAATCAACAAAAACATACAATAATACAGTCAAGGGACTCCCGGAAGGTGGAGAACAGAATAGAAAGACGGTAGGTGTCAAAGGAGAGAAGTTAAACTGGGGGGTAAGAGTGTTCTTGTGGAGAAGAGGAAGCTTGAGGTAATCTTGTGACTTGTGAGGTGCTCTATGAGCTGCAGAAATGGAGGGTAGCAAGGAAGAAGGACGAAGAAGAAGAAGATACGGGTGGTGAGGAGGGAGGGAGGGAGTGAGAGAATGAAAGTGAAAAAGGAGACAAAAATGCCA